GTTGGCGGCGGCATTTGATAGTCCATTCTCATTGCTGAGGCGCACAAATTGTTGCCACTTGCCACTTGCCACTCGAAATTTGATTTTCTATACTATACTTCACGGTTGCTAATATTGCAATATATATTTAACTTAGCTAATTTAAAGCGTGCTGCAACATTGCTGCTGCTGACGCTGACGCTGCGCTGCTGCTGCGCTGTCTTCAAGTTGATTGAAATTGAAACTACAAAAAACTGAATGCCAAAATAAAAGAAATGTATACAAATAATAAAAAAAACGAGACAATCATAAAAGCTTCGGCACGCGCGTTCTAAGAAGAAGAACAGCAACAACAACAACAGCAATAATAACTAGCAACAACAACAAGAACAACAAGAGCAACAATTGTCACCGCAAGCGCAGCTTTTGAGAGAGCTTGCTCAGAATTTAGCGAGCGCGTCACGCAAATTAATTTTTTGCACAGCACGAAACAATTTTCTCAATTCTGCTTTTTGTTTTGTGCACCTCTGCTGCCTGCCTGTGCTCTTCACCTGTCTCTTGTTGTTTTGTTTGCTATTTGCTATTATTATGTGTGTTCGCTTTTGTTGCTGCTGCTGCTGTTGTTGTTGTTGTTGTTGTCAACTATTTCGCGTACTTATTGGCGACGGGGCTTTGGCTGTCGTTTTTAAGGGGTTCTCGCGTCGTTTTCGTCGTTGCCGTTGCTGTCGTCGTCGTCGTCGTCGTCGTTGTCGTTGTCGAATGAGAAAAGTTTGACCTTGAATTAGCCAGTAACAACAACAACAACAACAACTACAACAACACAATATAAATAATAAAAATGTTGCTATGCGCTATTTGCTATTTTGCTATTTTGTTGGGGTTTGATTCTCTCGTTGGGTTTTTCTTTTGTTTCACTTAATGTTTTCATGCAATTAATTTTTTGTCGAGTTAATTTAGCCAAATTTAATAATAATAATATCCACAAAATAATTATTTATATGCGCTAAACTAATATTCAGGTTTTGGTATATTGATTGTGGAATTTTTTTGATCTTTTTTTATATGCACTTCGTATCACATAATTTGCATATTTTAAATTATGTATTTATTTCAATAATTATTAGATTTTGCTTCTGCCTTTTAGCGAGATCTTTATTTTTATTTTTTATTTTTTTTTTGTGGTATAAAAATTTACACTGCACTGCAAGGTGTAGTTTGAATTTTCACTGCATTTCCTTGTGATTTTCAATATAATTTGTTGTACATTATTTGTTTAGGTTTAATATATCCAAATATCCAAATCCTTCTCGGTTCGATGATGATGGTGCTGCCGCTGCTGCTGCTGCTGCTGCTGCTGCACAGTTGCCGATAAGCGAAAGTTCATAAGTTCGCACGAATTCGAAAGCAGTCGAAGACAAAGACAAAGACGAAGACGCAGACGTTGACACGCGCCGCTGTTGTATGCAAAGGGGTGGGGACGTTTTTTTGGTTTTTTTCGGTTTTTTGTTAGGGGTACGACTTGGGGACTCGCTTTCGTGGGCTGTGTGTGGTGTGAAGCCGTGAACCGAACCGGTGCCGCCGGACTGCAAACGTTGAGTGAACGCGCGCGCTGTGCGCCTCTTGCAACGCAGCTCAGATCGGCTCCGAAAAAAAAAACAAAAACAAAAACAAAAAAACAGCAATCCAAAAGCAACAACAACAACAAGAGCAACAAAAGCCCCACGCAGAAAGCGCCAAAGCCCAAAAGTTAAAGGCGACTGCGCAGCCGGCGTCAAAGCCAAACTTGAAACCGAAAGCATTAAAGCAGCGACGCGTCGCTGCTGCCCGCTCTCACTTACTCTCACACTCACACTCAGAGATTATCTCTCTCTTACTCGCTCTCTCGTTTGGGCGCAGACTTGTTCCCAGTGTGCCTTCGGCTCTTGCCCATTAGCTTTGCTGTCGCTGTTGTTGTTGTTATAGTTGTTGCTGTTTTTGCGCATTCCGCTGTTTACTTTCTTTCGCGCACAGCCTGCTGTGTGTGGTGGAAAAAAACACTGCCGCTACGCTTCGTGTGAGCTGCGCTGCCGCTGCCGCTGACTCTGTCGCTGCATGCGGAAGCGATGCTGGTTTTTAGATTTTCCACGCACAACTCAACGCGACGCCAGCGTCAACGTTAACGTCGCCGCCAACTGCGACGCGAGCAGCATTTGGTTTGAGTGATTTTGTTTAGCTTTTGTTGCGCCGTGCACAGCTTCAATTGTGATTTATAACTACCTCTGCATGTATGTATGTACTTACTATATATATATGTATGTGTGTGTATGTATGTATTTATGGGCAATGATGATAACAAGCTTACCAGAAACATTTAACTGTACAAAGCTTAAGCTAAATGCAGTCCTCAGTCACGTTTGGGACCCAACTCACACACATCGACTGACAACGTGCACCATGCACCGTGCACCACTCAACACTCAACACAAGCCATGCGGCAAACGATGCTTACCTGCAAATAGAGTGCAATAAAAATATGTTAAATATTAATAAAAAATAAAATAAAATATATATATTCACTGTGACACTGACAAAATGCTAAATGCTAAATAAACGACTATTTAACTTATTTTACAGCAACCACAGACAAGCACAACAACTATTTTCAACCCAACCGGGTAGATCAAAAAGAGCTGCCGCTGCCGCTGCTGCTCCCATTGCACAATTTGCACACTCGCAAACCCATTTCCCCATTTTTGTGTGTTGCCATTGGCATTGACAGTGGGGCCACCCCATGGCGCATTCGCTTTCCCCTGTTCCGCCCACACAACAACAACAACAACAGACAACAGTATTCTGCCTTTAAAAGGTAATTTTTACAATTCTCCCTGCACAAAATAAATAAATGAAAATATAAATTAAATTCAAGCGGCGCAGCGAATAAAATGAATTCGATTGTTTGCAATAAACTTGAAAAAAATAAAATAAAATAAAATAAAATAAATTTCACCCAGCTTTTAAGATCTGAAACCGCATCCAAAACCATATCACAACGGATCGTATCGGATCGGATCGTATCGTATTATATCGTATCGTGTCAAGCTGTCCAACAACAAAAAGAACGCCTACAAATCGCATGCGAGCCGATGATGATGATGATGATGATGATTGGAATGACATCCAACAGAACCGAGGGGCAGATTGGGGGGCAAATATGCAAATGCGACACTGAAATGCTCTGCCAGTGGGTTAACTGTGCAACAAGGGGCGCCGAGCGGAAGTAGTTGAGTGTTGCTGTTTGTGATGAGCACAAAAGTGCACACGTTGTGTGGGCAGTTCGAATAAACTAGGAAGTATTCCAAAACAAAACAGAAACTGCCCACAAATGCAGCTTCATTATTGTTATTACCTTTTTCGGGCATAGAGCGAGAGAAGGGCGAAGGATTGTCAGGTGTGTCATGCCACAACTGGCACGACTTGATTGAGTTTCTATATATATAAATCATCAATTTTACTTTGAGTAAATTAAGTATAATTTTCGTTTAAATATAGTTTTTAGCCAACTAAAAACTAAGAATTATATTTATACAAAAACTGTGCTCAAGTTGATGATGAGACTCTGATTTGAATGGAGATTGGATGGTCAATAAAATGGCAGGCGTACTTTTGAGTTGCTTACTTCATTACAGGGTATCATATATTCAATGTGAATTTCATAAGTATAATTTTGCCATACTCATTTCAATATGTGGCCGCTGTGCGCCTTTCTTTGTACTGATTTTATTTGCCGCCGACCGAAAAACCTAATCAAAGCGAATGCATTTTGAGTTGGTCAAAAAAAAAAAGAAAGAAAGAAAGAAGAAGAAGAAAGAGTGGGTGGCGCCACAAAAGGCTGACCTCGTCCAGCAGAAATGGTGGCTCGGTCAAAGGCTCGATATGTGTGATGAGTGCAAAAAAAGGTGGCAACAACATTTGATGCCAATTTGTCAATTGGTCTTTTAGGCTAATAAGCTCTGCTCTGCTCTGCTCTGCTATGCTATGCTGACCCATTTGTCGAAACTAACTGAAAATCTGTCACGGTTTTTTGCAAAAATATACAATAATTCACAGTTAATTTATGCAATTGGCAAATTTCACAAGTTGTCAAATTATTTTACAGCACGAAGCAAGTGTGAAACGGGCCAATTTTACACAGCGTGAAAATGAGATAAGAGAAAATCCACAGAGAGAGAGAGAGTGAGAGAGAGAGAGAGAGGGAGTCTTAATTACTACAACTATAATAAGTACTTTTGACGTAGGTCGTCATTTCAAAATTGATAAGCCACAAGTCGTAAAACTTTCAGTAAAAAACTGCAAGCTTCGCAAAACATTGCAAAACAATTTATGAGCATATTAATTAAGTTTGCACTTGCGATAGGCGGTCAAAACGCAGTCGATTTATTTCGCTGTGTGTGTGTGTGTGTATATATATATGTGTGTGTGTGTGTGTGTGTGTAGTTGCGAGCTTTACTCTGATATTCGACTCAAAGTTCCCACAGTGACAGTCAATTGACTGTTTCGATGATATCAGCAACAAACAGAGAGACAGAGACAGAGATAGACTAAAAACATTATAAGAATAGAAAAAATAGAGAGAGAGAGAGAGAGAGAGAGAGAGAGAGAGAGAGGGAGAGAGATAACAGGCTATTAAAGTCTAGAGCAGCTCTATGAATAATGCGACTTGTGACTGAAACAACAAAAACCAAGTGCACAATTTATGATAATGCGAAAAATGATATATTTATCTTTAGTTTTGTGTCAGCAATATAATAGAAATATATATATAAATGAATAACTGAATACTCATATAAGTATATATATGACAAATATTCGAGTCTTTATCTATTAGCAATACACACATATTTATATATATATATTTATATATATATATATATATATTTGTATGCAAGTTTAAAAATATAGTTGATCTTAAGTTTATTTCAATAATCATAGTGGCAAGCGTTTGTTGCAAGCTTGTAGCTCGGCTCCTTTGTTGCGAGACCCACCTGAGCTGGATGGTTGAAAGCGTGCTTTTAAGCTGTTCAAATGGTTTTGATGATCATTGGCGATGGCTGCAGCGGCAACCGCTGTTGCCACGTGTTGCACTGGCGAGATGTTGCTGTTGTTGTTATTGTTGCTGCTGGTGTTATTGTTGTTGCTGCTGTTGTTGCTGGTATTGTTATTGCTGCTGCTGCTGTTGTTGTTGTTATTAGTATTATTGGCAATGACAGCAATCGGATTGTTGCAGCTGACATTTGTTGCCGCCGCCGCCGCAGCGGCAGCAGCAGCAGTTGCAGCAGCCGCAGCAGCCGTTGCTGCCGACTCATTGGCTGCACTGCCAACATTTGCGGCCTGCCCCTCCATGAAAGTGTTGCGCTGGTGATAATGCGGCGAGTCCTGATAGATGCGCTGATAGTTCAACGTTGGCAGCGTCCACGAGTTGTTCGTCTTGTAGTGGAAGTTGCCGGTGCCAAAGATCGAGTGAGTGTTGGTGTTGGAAGCGGCGGCAGCAGCAGCTGCTGCTGCTGATGACAGCGTGTGAGCCAACTGAGCAGCATGATGTTGCTGCTGTTGCTGTTGCTGCTGCTGTTGTTGTTGCTGTTGCTGATGCAGGTGTTGTTGCTGCTGCTGCTGCTGTTGTTGTTGCTGCTGTTGTTGCTGTTGTTGTTGATGAGGGTGATGCGGATGCAAGTGCGGATTGTGTCCAAGTGAATGATGAGGATGCTGCTGTTGCTGCTGTTGTTGTTGCTGCTGCTGCTGTTGCTGATGTGCATGTTGGTGCGTGGCGTGATGTGAGTGCTGCTGTTGCTGCTGCTGGAGTTGCTGTTGTGCTGCTGCAATGGCAGCCGCATGTTGCTGCTGGGCATGATGCTGCTGCAGCTGCTGTTGCTGCTGTGCATGCTGCTTCTGCTGTTGCTGCTGCTGCTGTTGCTGATGGTGATGCAATGCGGCCGTTTGCTGCTGTTGCAAATTCCATGCATCCGCTGCTGCTGCCGACGAGGAGCCAACAACTCCGCCACCGCCGCCGCCCGAGCTGCTGCTCTTGCCGGAATCATTGCTGCCGACGCTGCTGCGATGGTTGTCCAATGTTGCCGTTGAGCCCGTCATGCTGCCATCGTTGCCGCTGTCGCTGTTGCCGCTGCTGCAGCTGCTGCTGTTGTTGTTGTTGTTGCCATTGGTGCTCTTATTGTTGTTGTTGCTGTTGTTGCTGCTGCCGCTGCTGCTGTTGTTGTTGTTGTTGCTGGCGGACGTTGCTGCTGCCACCTGCGTGTTGAACTGTTGAAAGTAGTGCGACAACGTTGCAGCATTGGTATGCTCCTGGGCATAGAATCTTTCGCACGAATTGGTGTCGGACGACATTTTGCACTGGTTGCGACCGCGACTGGTTCAGTTTTACGGTAGTTGTTTGTGTATTATTGGTTGTTGCAACTTTAGGTTGCGACGTCCTTGTGATTGCCGTTATTGTATTTGCTGCACAGCAATTGAAACTTTGAGCACCGACTCAGAGCTGTGCGCATTTTTCAATATTCACTTTCTTGCCACACTTATTTGCAACTAAAATTCAATTTTCACAGCATTAATTTGAGATCGTTTTTTGGGATTCTCGAATGCGAACGAATGCTAACGATGACAATTGATTTTCGATTGATTAGAAAATTGATAATGACAGTGATAATGATAATGATAATGATAATGATAGTGCCTGATCGTGATAATGATGAAGTGGCTTGTTAACGATATCCGTTAATAGTTATAGCTTTATGCAGGAAGATGAATGTTTTACGATTTTATTTTCTTTGTTTTTTCTTTATGAGCTGGAATTCATTGGTGGCTGTCTCGATAAGGAATAAGAAAAGGCATTGTTCATTTATATTTATACAACTATAAATTTGCAACATTTGGCTTCTTCTATGCCTCTAATTGATTCAATAATTATTTAGTAGACAATTCAATTTTCAATAAAAACAAATAAGATAAAAACGGAGTTTATATTAGATCAGAACTCTTGTGAATAATTTTTAATCAATTTTTTCATTAACATTTAAGGCACTCAAATCAATTAAAATATAGACTTTTTTCATATACAGTTTTTTTTTTTTTTGCTCTTGTTTTAATACCTTTTCTCATTCGCAAATGTTGTGTGTATTTTTTTTTAGTGTATTGTTGAGTTTTATAATTAAACAAAAACAATTAGGCTGCTTGAAATTGGATCCGTAACTTTGGCGCTGCAGGATTTGGGCAAATATATAGTAACTTTATGTATATATATGATTTGCCAGTTATATATCCGAGTGTTAACTACTTGAGCACACACACACATATATATATATATATATATATAAATATATATAAACACTTTGCACAATTGTTGCTTTTTATTTTAAACAGTTGAACGATTATTTTGCATATATATTTATACAGTAAATATCGCTTATAGATTTTATATATAGTTGCTTCATAGAACTTGGCTCCGAAACACTTTCTTCACTTTGACTTTGACTAAGTGCGCAATTCTTTTATACATATATGCAAATGTACGGATATATATATATATATATATATAAATTATATGAATTGCGAAATACTTTTCCACTATTATCGATAGTCGTTTGACGTTTTAATATTTATCTGATATTCTTGCATTTATTGCGATTTGTGATTTTTCAATAGTAGTTGATTTTCACAGTTTTCACACGCGCAGTTTGACAACGATTTGGACATGAGAACGCGATGCGACCGAATGCCGGCCATAGTCGAGACTCGGCCTCAGAACTCACGGGCAGAGAAAATTCATCGCTGCAAGCACACACACGCTGTCGACGCCGACTGTGCTGCCGCAAACAGTCAGCGAGTGCCCAGCGCAGCAGCGCTGCAGCAGAGCGTTTGCAATTTTCAGCAAGTTGCTGGTTGACCAGGAAAAACGGAACCCCAAACTGAAACTTACGTAAAAAACTAAGGGCTTCCAGACAACTGCTTAGACTGCTTAGACTGCAGACACTGGAGTAGTACAATATTAATAGTAAATAGAGAGCTCTTCAGCTAGCTGCGCAGTTGGCAGCAAAATATTTACAAAAGCATAAATAAAGAAAAAATAAATAAATAAATAAAAAGAAAAGAAGAAGAAAAATAAATAATATGAAAAAAAATGGAAAAAAAAGAATTGCAGGCAAGTGAGCTGAGTCGTCGACAGCGCAGTTGTAGCTTGTAGGAAGTGGCAGCGACTGCAACTGCGACTGCGACTGCGACGGCGACGTCGACAGCAGCGACAAAGTCACGCGGATTTCCAGTATGACCCAAAGCCCAACGTCTGGCAACGTTCTCAGCACGTGTTGTGAACACACCGGGACACACACACACACACATGCACACGACAGCTGAGACCGGGAGACAGTCAAACACACACACACACAAAGGCACACACACACACACATGGCGAGAATATCGCTCACGTTGAACGTATTGCAGTTGGCATACTTAGAGATAGAGATAAAAAAAGAACACACACAAACACACACACACCACACACACACACACACAGCAAGATACACTTTCAATACTCTGAGTGAGCTTTTTTTGTGTCTTCTGTTTCTTGTTTTTTTTTTTTTTTTTTGATTAGCTTGTGAGACGCTCCTTGGTTACAGTTAGCAGTAAACGCTAAAGTCCAGGCACTGTTCGCGATTTGATTTGATTTGTTATTTGTTATTGGGCTCATCTTCCGTTTGCCGTTCTAATTGCCATTTCTATTTTGTGTGTGTGTGTGTGTGGCAAGAGCAATGTGATTAAAGTATCGATGACAGACAGCGCGTGGCTGCAGCAGCCACAGAATTAATTGGCCTGCAACACGTGACGTATGCGTAATTTCATGGAAAACTTCCTTTGACGCGTGCAGCGCACAAATTAGGCAACCAGCTGGGTGAGCGAGAGCGAGACAGAGACAGACAGAGAGAGAGAGAGAGAGAGAGAAAGAGAGGGGGAGACAGTTGCCTAGACAACAATTATAAGCGCATCTCAGCGTTACACGTTTTTCAACATTACTGGTATTAATTGTTGTTTAGCCATTTAGGCTTAAGTTATTAAATTTCCAATGAATTTATGCACAATTCGCTTAACAATTGCATTAATAATCATTTAATGATTTTTCTACAGGGGAAGAACCAAATAATCATTAGAAATAATCGTATAAAGTGCTGAAACTTTGTAGGAAACTGAGAATATAACGAAAATAAATGAGGAAAAGTTAAAACTGAAGAATTTTAGAGCAGAGGATGCTTCAAATAGATTCAAATACAAAATCATTGAAAGTTCGATCAGTTTATATAATTATGAATAAAAGATGCTCAGCAAAACAGCTAAAATATATTTCGATAAATAAGCAAATTTTTATTCAATTCAGAGGCTATAGATAAAGATGGAGTTTAGATTTGTTATATAAATAATTTATTATTAACAATTTGTTGAATTTCCCTTACAAATTACAGACATTTTATTTATGTCTGTCCTTAAATAACGCCAGAAAACTTATAAATATTATAAATCTACCTTATTTGTTTAAACTTTAAGCGACTTTAGTTGACATTTAATATTTATATAAATATAAGCTCGCAATTATTTCGAGTATTTAAAAATATTAACGCCATAAATAGATTTGGAAATGCATCCCCCTCCCCGATTGCAGCTCAAGTTGCTGCCGTTGGCGATTTTACAAAGCGGCTTAACTCGTTTGCACCCCAACCCCAATCGCAACCCCAACCCTTGGCAAATACGCATCGGCAAACCCAATCAAGCATACGCCCCGTGATGCGTCGTCTATTTTCGAGCAGCAACAAGTCGTCAGTCGTCCGTCGTCAATCGTCAGCTATCTATTGTTGTAGTCAAAAATAAAGCCGAACGCTTAGCGTCTCCTGCACGACTGCCAATTGGGAGGCAGCCGAGCGTTAAGGATGCCCGCTGCGTTGTCTGCCATTGGCGCAGCTGCTTCGTGTGCGGCCAGAACCAATCAGAGCAACAGGCGCCCAGGCAAACAAAAGTTTAATATAATCGCTGCTCGCCACTCGCTGCTCGCTGCCTGCGTCGACGCTGGCGGCTAACAGCAAATACAGCTGCGACGACGTCGCTGTCGCAGTCGCAGTCGCTGCTATTGCTGTTGCTGTTGCTGTGGCTGTTGTCAGGTTTTCTATTTGTTTTGCTGTCAGTTGTATTTTTGTAGCTGTTGTTGTCGTTGTTGTTCTTGTTCTTGTTGTTGTTGTTGGCTATCACGTTTTGCTACCACGTGCGCCGGCCCCCGTATTGTGCATGTGTGCATAGAGTGGCGCTTCAAATGAATGAGCGGCGGCGTCGTCGTCGTCGTTGTCGTCGTCATCGAGAGAATGAGCGAGAGAACAAAACAAACGTTGAAAATAGAGCAAAGCGAAGAGCGGCGCCCAGACTTTTGAGCAAGAATAAAGCACAAGCAGAAGCAGAAGCAGAAACAGAAACAGAAAGAGAAGCAATAACAACAACAACAACAGCAATAATACAGTAAACGACAAAGGCTGCTGCTGCTGCTGCTGCTGCGATTATTTATTGTTTATAAATAGCAAATTAAAGGCAATGGAAGTGCAGTTACACACACACAGACACACACACACACAGGCAGTCGCATCAATGAGTGTGACTCGCATCTGAGGATAAATATATAAATATATTCAAATGTATCTAATTATATTTGAAAGCTATGCTGGCTTTTGCAAGCATTTAGCAGCCCTTTGATAACAATTACAAAAAGAAGGGAAGGGGGGCGTTCTCTTGTTGTATTTATTGTACATTTACAGTTTTTGTTTATAGTTTAATTGAACAGCGTCGCATTTAAGCGTTACTCACACAAACACACTCAAACACAAATTTGCCTTGCTTTCAATTTAGATTTGTTTCGCTGCGCTTTTTATTCATTTTCGTTTATATTTTTTTTGAGGGGGGTGTTTTTTTCAAGTCGTTCTACACGCGCTAATAAACTACCCTTAACTGCTGCACTCAAGTTATTTTCCTTTGAATGACTAAACATTTTTTCATACAGCCATAAATTGTTGCCTTAGCAAGTGTAATAAGTTACATGACCCAGTTAAAGCCAATATTGAACGAGACCCGTTATTGTTGTTGCTAATTAGCCATATATCATCAAGTATTATCGATATTATAATTTTCAGTTATTTCTAGACTTTCGTGGGGATTTTTTGCATCAGCATTGGTATATATTATTTCAAATGGGAATATAATTTAATGGCATATTAAAATAAATTTTTATTAAATTCTATTCAAATTAGATAGCCTCAAGCAGTCAGCTAGAATTGAATAATATACTAGAATTAAATCTTATTTAGTTCTAGTCAAATATTTAGTTAACATTTGTGAACATATTCTAATATTATTTATTAAATATATATATTTATTAATATTATATAATTTCGCTAGTGCAAAATATAACAATTCAACAATTTCGAACTGAACAATCTGCTCAACTTATATACTTTTATGTGTAGCTGTATCTGTACTTGGAGCAACAAGTTCTCTTTTTGTTATAAACAAAAAACAAATCTCGTTTACCGTTAGCAACGCACTTAAGTTGCCACGTGCCG